CCCGACGAGAAGTCTCCTTCAGAGACACTCCTGCGGAGACTCTTGTCGATCAAGACCGTTTCTTTTCTTTCCTCCTCTTTTAAAGTTGAAGCGTTGTAGATGGCCGAATGTGGATGATTGAATGATTGAATGATTGAATGATTGAATGAATGAATGATTGATTGAATGATTGAATGAATGATCGAATGAATGAATGAATGATTGATTGAATGGACGTAACAAAGGCTTTACGGATGGTTGAATGTGGTTTGTTGAAATTGTTCGAGGCTTTGGTTTTCTTTTTTTTTTCGACCATTTTTTGACATTTTGGGTTTGTTGTTTTATTTTGATTTTCATTTTTGATTTTCGTGTTGGTTTCAAGTTCCCTGTCGTTGCAAGCCTACCAATTATTCTGAAGCCGAAGGCTGTCATGGCAAGGCTGGACGTGACTTGGGTGGACGTGACCTGAGTGGACGTGACTTGGGTGGACGTGACCTGAATGGACGTGACTTGGGTGGACGTGACCTGAGTGGACGTGACTTGGGTGGACGTGACCTGAGTGGATGTGACTTGGGTGAACGTGACCTGAGTGGACGTGACTTGGGTGGACGTGACCTGAGTGGACGTGACTTGGGTGTCAGACATGTTGAAGGGACATGCTGTGATATGGTTGGGTCGTCTGAAGATGAATGTAAGTGAGCAAAGAATAGAAAGCTGGAAGTGGACAGCATAACTGACCAGTCATGTGATGGATGTGGACGTGACAAAGGCCAATGCATTGAGCATGGTGATGGTAGGCTTCATCTTATCAGATGTGGGAGTGGAAAGATGGATGAAGTGATGTGATGGAAGACCTAATGGAAGATCAAGAGTGGATAAAATTTTTGATAGAACGATTTTTGTTAGATGGTATGAGAAGTTGGGTAGAGGAAGAAGAAAGAAAAAAAAGAGAGGGGGGGGGGAAGTAGAGGGTATTTATACCCCAAGGGTCGGCAGGTACGTTTGTAACGTTTGTACCTGGGGTGTCCTTAATTGGAACCCCGTTTGTCAACTTCCCCTCTTCAAATAATTGCTTGTTGAGCGAAACCCACTTCTCATGGTTATTGAGGTAACATTGTAGTCCTGGATAGTCTCTAGAGTCGTAAAAAGAAGATACGACAGTGTGTACACTCTTTAGGCTTATACCCCTGGATAATACCATCGCCGCTCCCATCCATCGACTTAGACACATCAACAGTATCATACCTATAAGTCTGTTCAGCTGAGCCTTATAAAAGTGCACCATTTTGCCAACTGAAGATGCAGGTCGTTGAGAGGCCGTAAGATTTATAGATCATTAAGGTTACACGCTAAGCCATGTTTAGTATGGCGTGCGTGCACGGTCCTTGCATTATGCAGTGCAGCCTTGGCACATGGATACCCATCCCACATGGAGATTTTGATGGATGTGGCATGCGGACACACCAGCAGCACAAAAATTAAGATGTCCAGATAGTTTTTGGCCATCTTGCGATCCAACACAATCATCTCATCCTCAGCTTCGCTTTATCCGCCAGTGGATTCTCCTAATCGACCTTCTTAGGTGTGATCAGTTGGTGTTATGGAATTAAGCTGGTTGTGGTAAAGATGATCTTATTACTATAGAGTTGTTGCGTAGGATAAGTACGCTGCTTAATAATACGTATGTCATCATCCATCCCTCACAGTTGGCCCTCCGACTAAAAGCCAGTGGTCTCGATTGCTGAAAGGTGCACAACTAATTTTGGATTTGTCTAACCATCGGATACCGAGCTGGATCACTTTCATTTGAGCCTTTATGCTAAGCTGGATTGCCTGGATATATTGACCGTCCCGGGTGGGCTGGATGATGAATGTAGTCTCCCACAACACTATACATATCACCAACATAGGCTATGCATGGGTTGTACCTAACATTTAGTAGAAGAGAAAAATGGGCCGAATCTAAGATATCAATAGTCTTTGGGCTCTTTCCAGAACCTTGACGGCAGGGTACCCCAGAGGGCTGCACGGTGCCATCAACTTGAAGTGTTATGAGACCGAGAAGTAATAAATGGCAGTCTACAAAGGGTAGTAATCTAGATGGATCATGAAGCTGTTGATCGTTGGGGGCCACTTGGGTACCATAGAGGGCATGAAGATACAGAGGATCTATCCCCGCGCGAGGTGACGTTACAATCCACTAGCCAGCTCCCGAGGGTTTCTCCCCGGGAGCCGTCGCCAGCCTGTTGAGGTGCATGGCCCGAAGGCCTATTTGTATCCAACTACAACGTACGGGGCAAAATAGCCGCGTTTCGACACGAATTCTGACTTGGGGGCATTTGTCAGCACATCAAATAGAGTGTCAAGTTCATGGAGATCAAAGGTCCGTATAAACAGGAAAGAGTTGCAAAAAGCACCTTTTCACTGAGGGACTTTCCACATTCTGCTTCATCTTCTCCTTAACAAGCTCGTCGTACTTCTTCTTAGCAACCTTGACGGTTCTACCCGCCCGGTCCTTAGTTACGAAAGAGCGCTTGAACATAACAGCACAAAGAAATCCTATGGCCGAGATATCTCCATGGAAGATTTTCGAAGTTGGCAAGACAAACTTGTATTTATCGGAAGGCGTGATACGAGTTGGTCGAACGAAAGACGGATTGACGCTGCTGGTCATGCACACGAAGCATGTGAGTCTTGGAAGTTCCCCACAAAAACGGTCCTCCGAGTCTTAGTTAAAAGACGAGGAAAATGCAGTTCCGGGATGACTTTGCATTTGAGAATCTGAATTGACTCTCTTAGCGAACAGTTGTCGACTCCGGCAGGCGTGGAAGGAAGAAGAAAGAAAGAATAGAAAACGGGAAGAGGGGGCTTAAATACGGGGGTCAGGTGATATCAAATGTGACTAGAGACGAGGTCACCTGTTAATTGAGGCTCAGGCTCAGGTGAAATTCCTTGTGGTTGGTTCTTTAGGAATCCCCGAGGGGCTGTGCATGTTGGAGCTAAAATCTCACCTCACAGTAATCCGGCTAGATGCGCTAGGTCCGAACCTATGAACATATATGACATCTTTCTGAAGATTGATCCTATCGATTGTTTATATTCTTATTGGGCCGTGATGGGGTTTCATGAAGTCCAGTGATATATTCGTACAAAGCCGACCATGTCATTGATCAAACATCCAATGTAAATAAGAAATTCTGTACTTAGTCGAATATTAGATGATCTTTGGATTATCTGACATTGCTTTGTTCCCAGAATGAGCAATCTGAGCCAATGATTTCTCCTTTTCATCGGCATCTTGTACTCAGCCCAGGAAGCCACAACCAGCAGTAAGCATGACGACGCCAAAGCTTGCTAATTGACGGAAGGTGAAGGTGTACATGCCGTTGCCAGCAGAACGGGACTTGTCTCGCTGACCCTCACATTTTACAGTACTAACATCCATTTCGGAGCTGTAGTATTCTTGCGATTTGTTACAGTCATGAGCGATTGAACATTGGTATGAAAGGGCCTCAATGTAGGATAACTTACGGTTCCATAGTCCTTAAAGTCGACAAACGCGCTTAAGTTAATGTTCTGTGTCTGAAGTTTAGCCACTCCAATACGTTACTTCCACGGTACAAAGTTATGGGCTGCGAAGTGGCAAAGCAAGCCCACGCTTCATTACCGATGGGGAAGGTATTGAGTGCATTGCTGATGATTTCTATGCTCGGGAAGTTATGTGCTAGTGGGACGTGGGCAACTTATGTGAGAATCCCACGGTCTGTGGACATCTCTCATTATCTTCACGTCTGAAGGGAATGGAACATCTGAGACTTTGATCGGCTTAGCAGTCTATATCAATTTCCAAGTAGGCAGCCCATAGAAACCCTATTCAACTGATCTCAAACTAGATCTCTGGATACAGTAGTGGTCTGAGGATAGCCTCAAAGGCTCTTATGCTGTTTTTCTACGCTACTAGCTAGGATAATACGCTCTGTTACAGGTACTACCTCTCATAATAATGGCAATTTATCTGGGGGATATAATGTTTGATTTTCTCCCATGTTGTTCTTTTCAAGCTGACTTTTTCTCAGTCCAAAATGGAAATTGTCCCTGCATCCGGAGTTGCGCCTCACCGTCAATTAATTAAGAAAATCATGAAAATCCAAATTAAAACCCAAGATAACTAATGCAGAATAGGCTAGCCTTATGGTTGTCATACTGTTTGTTTTACAGAACCTAGCTAATGTACAGACCGATTGCAGCATGGTAGCCCTTAGCGCATAGATCTCGATCAACTTCAAGACTAAGACTACATTCTAGATCGTGTAACAAAAAAGAAGACGGCAATGAACGGTACTCTTGTTTTCAGGATGTCTTTTCTTTGAAGATCTTGTGTTTTTTTTTCTTGATCAACTTCTGGATCTTTCGGTCTCAGTGTCGGCAATTTAAACATATCTCCGCATTACTTGCTAGCGAATCAGTGCATGTATTCAACAAAAAAGGATATTTTGTGCATCAAAACTAATAATGCCCATAGCGCGAACGGGGTCGATGGGATCCCTGCAAAACAAAAAAAAAGCGCCCCAACATAGTGGCGGCTAGAGGAGGGTTCTCATTCGTGCGGATGGAACTAAAACTACCATTTCCCACCCATATCCACTGAATTTGCTTGTTTGCCATTAAGAAATATTCTTCTATGTCAACACATCTCTGATCTGTTTCCCGCCAGCAAGCTTGCCCGGGAGGTCTGTGACATGAACACGTTGTCGAGCTTAGCCTTGCAGTGATATTTAGCGCTTATTTGATCTTTTAAATATGTCGGCTGATGCTTTCTTTTTGGAACGCAACCGATGATATTTCTCTCATTTAATCTATGTACCATTTCATGTCATCCCCTGACTCGAATCGAATCGCCAGAAGAACCCACCTGTTTCCGACCCACTGAACGTCTCAATGACGAACCAGACATGCTCCAATTGCAGTGTTGGCTCGTCAAACGACAAAAGATTAGTTGGATGGGTCTGGAACAGCCCCGGTCGTGGCACAACGAATTTGATTACAACATGCTTAGCCACAATATTTCTGTGCACCTGGGTTGTGATCCATCCCCGAGTCTACAAGCGAGAATCTTACGTAAACCTTCATAAGGTTGGGCTTTTCATGAAGACAGTATTTGCACCAGAGGTTATTGCGGTGGAAGGACTTAAAGAATGGGCACAGTGCCGCAGGATACAAAGAGAATGTGCCGATTCCACAGAAGGCCAATTCAAACTTGTCCATGCCTTCTACATCGGCATGCTTGCACTGAGGTACCAAACACTGAATGGTAATCGTGTCATTTGGCCCAACCAGTATACCTGGCTACTAAGAAAAAACATTGTTCGCTGGGAGGACCATCCCACATGGGGCCTGTCTCTTGAGGATATCTGCGACAAGAGCAAGTCTGACAACGCTGCAAAGCTACTGGCTTTGATCCAAGTAATCTGGTTCTCAGCACAATGCATGTTCCGTATCTCTTGTCATCTACCCCTCTCGCAGTTGGAGTCAATGACCCTTGGCTATATCCCATTGTTCATCGTGACATATTTCTTCTGGTGGAATAAGCCCAAGGACATCAGATCGCCATCTCTTGTTATGCTTCCGGAAATGAGCCTGGAGCAATTCAACGTTTTTGATTCGATGGCTGTCAGTAACAAGTTTGATAACGAGGGGACGAAAAAACAAACGTCATATTGGAACATGTGGTATCTTACCCCACGTGTTTTTGAGAAGGTCGAAGAGGACAGACCTGTGCAGGAGGCCAGAACAAGAGCCCGAAACGGCCTAACTCAAACTCCAATCGCTCAACCACCACCTGAAGCTACAGTCAACGAAAGCAGGATTCGAGATCTCGAAGATCCATATGAGTCCCGTAAGGATATCGTCGTAGCTCATTGGGATCCCGACCTATATAGGTCAAAAATCTGGCCCTTGGCGTGTCTGTTTGGGATTTCATTCGGCGCCCTTCACCTCGTATCTTGGAACACCATGTTCCCATCAATCGTTGAGTTGTGGCTCTGGCGTGCATCTGCATTCGTTTCAATCGTGTCGATGCTTATATTTATGCACTTTGAGAAGGTCGTCCTCCGGTGGGATGGCTTCTTGACGATTTTCAGTCTCTCGTCACCGATATTTTATCTTCTCAGTCGTATTGTGATGATGACAGAGGCTTTTGCTGTACTAAGAGCAGCAGACCCGGTTATTTACGAGAGTTGTGCTTACTGAGTTTACTGGTTACCTTTTTTTTTGAGAACCTCGGGTTTACGTAGAGTACAATTTTGAAGACTACATGGGCTTCATTATTCGATACTCATGTGAGAAAGCTAAATTTTTGTAAAGCTTTGGCTAACGTTAAAAAATCAACACTGGGGTTTTTTGTGTGTTATTCAGTTCTTTTTTTGCAATGTGGTTATCAGCAGAGAGTGGTCCCACTACAGAGAAATGCACTTCGTAGGCGCCCAGTCCTGAGGTACATGTAGGGATGGATGTCCACTCGTTTGTAATCCAATCAACTCACTATGATAGCCGCTATGTCAGACTCCACATCGCTGGGTTTATTCCAAGGTGATGAGGTAGAACAGATTTGCCAAGCAGGATGGAGTTTCCAGGGGCCATTGAAACAAATACTCATCCTTATAAGCCTATCAAAAAGCATAGTATTCGTAACCTGAAGATGGCTTTTCGCCGAAAAGAGCCATCGTAGTGGGAGGAGTATGTAGGCCCCAGACAGGTCAGCTTACCCACTCTCTTAGTGTGCTGCACCAGGTCCCCCGTCAGCGTCAAAGAGTCTCCTCGCTTTTCCTTTACTCCTGTGCGATATTCTCATTCTATTTTTTTGGCCCTAATGACAGCTAGCGAGATGTCTGGTTTTTTCTTTAAACATGCGTCAATACTAGTCGCTATTGCAGCTGTGTTGTATGCGATCCTCCTAGGGATACTCACCACGTCAACATTTCAATCACACGTCGTTTATCTCCACGCAATTCAGATGACATGGTTCAAAGATCTCAATGTCCCCGAAAAATTTGGGTTCCTGAGGAACCAGGTCACTCCATTCTCCATCAGGACGACTGATGGTGAATGGCTGTTCGCTTGGCATATTCTTCCCGTGGAATTATATCGCAAGCACCAAATGCCTCTCATCAATGAACCAGTAGGCTTTGTATCCGACATCAAATCCCGACTGGCATTTCAGTTGTTGCGCGAGGATCCGGACGCTCGTTTGATTCTTCATATGCACGGCGCTGGGGGAACCGTCGCCTCTGGTTATCGGGTCCCAAACTATCGTGCCCTTTCAGCAGGCAATCCCGAGAAAATTCATATTCTTACATTTGACTACAGAGGATTTGGCAAGAGTACCGGGACACCATCTGAGACTGGGCTTATAACCGATGCCCTTGCCGTGGTGGACTGGGCAATGAATGTTGCACGCATCCCTCCGTCTCGGATCTTGATATTTGGTCAATCTATGGGCACAGCTGTGAGCATTACTATGTCCAAGCATCTTGCTGTACAGACTCCACCCATAGTCTTTGCAGGCACTGTCCTAGTTGCGCCATTTGTGGACGTGGCGACATTAGTCTCAACATATCGAGTCGCGGGTACCGTGCCAATCTTGTCACCAGTTGCGAGGTTCCCTTTGCTCTTCAATTATCTTCAGAGATTTATTCGAGACAAATGGCTGAGCAAGGATTCTATTGCGCAATATGTCCAGGCTAACGAGCTAACCGGAGAAAAATACCGAATAACAATTATCCATGCCGAGGATGACTATGACATTCCATGGCACCATTCTCAACATGTGTTTTGGCATGCGGTCAATGCTTCAATGCCGGCGGGGATCAGTTATGACGACCTTGAACAAAAGAAGCTCGATTCGAAAGTAGATATGGGAGCTTCCGGGTCCATGATGGAGTTAAAAACGGACAACGGTATCATTCGCGAAGAAATTTTGAAAACTGGATTGCATGATGTGATCATGGGATACCCAGTGGTCACAGTGGCGGTGATGCGAATTTTTGAAGCGGCAAATCCATCATTCAGATCCTCAACTCAACCATCTGCCCCTGGATGAGATCATCTAGGCATGGGTTTCCTAAAAACGCGAGCACACTATGCAGAACGAAAAACATCAGTTGCATTCCCCTGAAAGTATATTTGCAAGTGGAAATGTAAACCAACGAAGTCCCGCTCATTAAACACAAAACGGAGTATTTCAGTAAATAACTAGTGGAATATAATGCTTAACCAACAAATGAAAATAGAGCTCTTGTCCTGATTCAAAAGACATTCGAGGGTGTACGGCCGAGTCGTAGACAGGGCATATGTGGCGGTGCTGGTGATGCGGTGGCACATGCGGGGTTGCCAAGCCACCGGTGATATCATCACTAAAGACAGGCTGGGTGAGCATGTGAGCGAAACAAAAGCTTGGTGTTGGCGTGCAAAGCTGTTCTGATCATCGAATCATTCCACCTGAAAAATCACATAGGCGCTTGGGAAAGCCGATCTAAATATCACTACAATCTAAAGCGCGCGCACCCCCCTACATTCAGCACGCGCCCCGATTCGTCCTACTTTTTATCCTCGTACTTCCCATCGAGGGACCCGAAAGAAAAGCTTCTATCTCCATCATTAGTGTCTTGAATGCCTTCATTATGGCCATGCAATATCTCAGCCAAATTAAGAACCTGCGGCGTTCGTCGCAAGTGACCAGCGCTCCAAAGCCTATACTGACGGCGGAAGATGAAGCCTACCTACGCGAAGTCACTGCCCAGCCGGAACTCGTGCCCATTAAAACAAAAGAGAAAGAACAAGACCCAAACGAAAGCCCTGCTGGAGCGTATCTGCAACCTGCAATAAGCGAACAAGCCGAAAACATCCCTCTACCTATCTCGCCAGGGGAAGAGTTGGCAAAAGAGCTTCGCGAGAAGGGTAGACAAGAGCGGAAGAGCTCCCAGTTAATATTGACAAGATCAGAGGCACCAAAGTCGGAAGTCTCAAAGCTCCCATCGAAGAAGAAACGATGGAGTGCCCTGTTTTGGAAGAAAAACACAGAGAAGGTTGGTCGCTTATTGGCCTGATGGTTCGGATATTTGCATCTGGCTTGAGCGTGTACTAAAATAAGACTTCCCACAAGTAGGACAATGATACCCCCGATGCAAACAAATCGCAGACTGAAACGGCGAAATCTCCGACCACATCGGAGACAACAAAAAACGGAAAAGACGTATACAAGGATAAAGATGCCGAGGACATGACGGATATCCTTGAGCGATTGAACCTGGCAGCGGACAACAACCGTGTATTTTCGATCAGTGAGGAGACACAAGAGCTTTTGCGCAAGTTCAAGCTCATCTTAAAGGATCTGATCAACGGAGTCCCAACTGCCTATCGTGATTTGGAGATGCTGCTGACAAACGGGAACCGCCAACTACAAGAAACCTACACGAAGCTGCCTGGTCCCATGCAAAAGTTGATTGAAAAACTCCCCGAGCGTTGGACCGAGACCCTGGCTCCGGAGATGCTGGCGGTTGCTGCTGACCGCGCCAGCAAAAGTGGTGTCAACGTAGAGAACGTTGGCAAGGCCGCTGCGGCTGCAGAGAAGATAGGAGTCAACATTCCAAATCTAAAGGAACTCGTGTCGAAGCCAGCTGCTCTTGTGGGCATGCTGCGATCCATCATGACATTTCTGCGAGCTCGATTCCCTGCTGTTATGGGCATGAATGTGCTCTGGTCCTTGGCAATGTTCAGTAAGTGAAGCAACGCACCAAGTGCAGGAGCATTTTGCTGACTATAGCAATCTCTAGTTCTCCTGTTTGTACTATGGTATTGCCACAAGCGCGGGCGGGAAGTTCGTTTGGAGAATGAGCGTCTGGTGACGGAAGAAGAGATCACCAGGCTTAACCAGGATACCTCTGAGGGTCTAATTCGCCCTACTGAGACTTTGACGACTACCGCCCTACCGGGCGCTACGTCTGATGAAATACGTAAAGGCGTTAGGAAGGTAGAGGAGGCCCGCGTCGCTCCTTTCGAGCCTGCTGTCCCCACCGAAGTGGGGAGTGAAAGCCAAAAAAGTACGCAACAAAGTACCCGGCCAGCGGCGATTCCCACCCGGTCAAAATCACGTTTGTATATGTTTGGTCGGGCCAAGACAGAACCTGTGCCTAACAATGTCGCACCTTATCCTGGCACTTGATCTCCCCTTTTGTCAGCTTTGTCCAACTTTATCTTATTTGAAGGGATGGAACCATGGTTGTTGACTCAATCAACCAAGGAAATTTGGATTTGAGTGGGCGACCCAGAATCAACGGATTGCTAAATGAAACCTCTCGCCCCGAAATATGCTCGTCTAGAGACTTGTATTAATGCTATTTTAATCTAATCAACATCGGTCGGTGTTGCGGAGTACAACCCTCGGATTTCATGTAGTTAACCGCTTTCCTTTTGATAGTTCGTCTTGGCAGTCTCCACTTGTTTCCTCTTCGATCAAATATCCCGCATTTCTTCCTGGTAGTTCTTGATGCTCACTGCTCCGGTGATAACAGCAACATGCATTTTCTCTTCTTTTAGACTATAAATTATGGCCGTGGTTGGGCCTTCTATTAAGTGTTGTAGAGAAATATCGCCCCACCTCGTGATTCCTAGCGTCCCTGGGCAGACACGGGAACCTCCTCGCCAAACCTGGATGACACTGACCATCTCCTTTTGTTCGCAAATCACTCTACTAGGTACACTATGATCACGCTTCTTAACCTCCCAGAGGAAACTCTCTGCCTTATTGCAGAAGGTCTGGATCACCAGCGTGATCGCTATCCCCTAGTTCTGTCATGTCGTCGCCTGTACACAGTTCTTCTCCCAACTCTCTACTCCCGGGTTATTCTTGGTGACGTTAGCAAGCATACCATCGGCCAATTCAGTGGATTTTTCAACGCAATCGCCCGACGGCCGCAGTTGGCGAGCGCTGTGCGAGCTTTACGCTTGGAGAATTGGGATACCGAGGATAGCACTGAGGACATCGACTGCGAATTCGAGTATGATGGAGAGCTTATTGACGGGCTTGTCGCTGGTACCTGTTGGTCCACGCAACCAAACGAACAGCTGCGGCGCGGAAACACCGATGCTTGGTTTGGCTTTGCTCATCCCTCAGCTGAAAGGCCTGAGACAAATCAGCATATGCTACCCGTGTGGGTCAGAACACGTCGAGGGCATGTTCGCGAAGGTTGCCAAAGAGAATATCACAGCATTTACTCGCCTCACTGAAGCTTTCGCGGAACGGTTTGACACGGAAAACTCCATACATGCAAGCTGCATGGAGCCGTTCTTCAAATTCCCGGCGATGCGCAGGATTGGAGGATCCTACATCCTCGACTCCAATCGTGAAGAGGGAAACCCCCGCATTGCACCTTTCTCTGGAGTCACAGATATTGACCTTGACATGACCAACACCGAGTGTGGATTCGGTGTCTGGATTGAATCTTGCAAGGCTCTCAAGACTTTCCGGTTGAATGTTGGCGGAGAGATGATCTCCGACGGTCCTGATCTTGTATCTGCTCCCCTTAGAGAATCGATATCCCTTCACAAGTCATCACTGGAGGCGTTTTGGCTCTGTGGCGAATCGTATCAGCCTCCAGAAGACGACGACGGATGGATGGGATCGTTTGCCGATTTCGACATGATGAAATATCTACATATTTCTATATCAATGCTTGCCAAACTTAACGACGACTTGGAGCCCACACAAGAGATCGCATCACTTTTGCCGCCGTCTCTTGAGACTTTGTATCTATGTCATTGCCACAACGAGCTCCTCGAATGGGCTGTCGATCAAATCGAACGCTTGCTAGATTCGAATTGTCTGCCACGTCTTACTTCCTTGGGGCTTGAGGATTATGGACCTCCAGAGGTCCATCAGAGTTCCTTGAAGATTATGCACAAACTGAAGGAGTTGAACAAAAGATGTGCAGATGCTGGCGTATTCTTTGCTACTTCGATTGGAAGTCACAGAATGGTCCCCAGCCATTTTGTATCTCTTTGGCCTTGCTCTTAATTTGAAGATTGCTAGATAGGTATGTTTATGGAAACTGGCATTGTTGGCGATTTTCGGGTCCGTAGTTTATAATCTGGCAGATCACTTCAAGTTTGGATTGAGAATGGTGTGATGTGAGCAGCTAAATGATCTTGCCACCTATATGGGGCCATAAGAGAAAACCAAAATTCCCCTCCTTTCTAGATTTAGAAACTTTTTAAACAAAAATTGGACTTGTTTATGAGCTCGTGGTCTCTATACTCAATTCTTTCTTCCGCGGGGTATGGGTTAACAAGTCCATTTTCACAAGTCCAATCACTCAGCTATCCAAGGTCATAGCTTAGATGCTACTTTTCTGTGCCTGTTGTTTCTAAATCCCATTCTCAACACCGGAATCACGTGAAGTATACGTACCGGATGAAAAAAAAAATGCAGAAGTGGAGGCTCCAAGCTAGAAGACCATCGAAGTGGCCAGGTGGAAGATTGACATCCAAACGGTGAATGATCCGCCTCAACTGAAAAGATGCTAGGGCTGAAGACTTTGTTTTTCTAAACAGTATGATTGGTGTTCGAGAGAAGTAGAAAAATTTTCATCTCAGCCACTGCGGGGCAGAAAGATGATCTTGCATGCTTCCGAACTTCAGGTGGCAAGGGCACTAATGTACTCAGAAAGAGAGAGAATCGGAAATATCTCTCGTTCTACATTTTCTGCTATGATTCTTACTTCGTAATGTTATAAATTACACGGAGCAGAACATAGGTAGCGATGTTACAAGTTGACGGAGTATAGAGCTGTCCCCTCGACGATTGGAAAAGTCAAGAGATAGACCCATCTCAAGCATGTTAGACGCACCCAGCTTTTGCCATGTTGTCCTTTTACCGCCTCCAGTCTTTTTTTTTTTCAGACAGTTAGGGCCACGGGGGCGAAAGTAGAAAAAAGACCTGCAGGTTCCCGGCTTGGGCCACGGGCATAATTGCCAAGCCGGTCGGAATAGAGTAGAGCGCTTTGCCACCCCAATTGTAAAAGTGGCCGGATCTATGGCTCGAGCCAATCAGCCCATGGCCTGGGTGAAAATTTGGGTCATGGTGAAGTCCAACAAAACAACATGATTCATCTCAGAGATGTGTCATCGATCCAAAATACATTCCCGATCCGAGGATGAATCATCGTGCATACCATACCGTGCACGGGTCAGTCTCTGCACCGTGGATATTCTAGTGCAGACGTCTCCTGCAGACTGATGTTCTGATGTACTGTGTGTGTCAGCGAGTCGAAACTTGAGTCAACCTAAAGTTTGCAAGAATGATTGTAATTTGCAAATGAAGATGTTGCCGGGGAGGATTGTGCCGAGGATGTTTAATGACGTGTTGTTTTGGGGGGGGGTGGTGTTTGTTTCGATTACAACATACTCCGTCCCTCTGCCGGGACATGTTACTTGACAACCAATTAATTGGAGAGATGCAAGTACTCCGTACTGCACACCATCAGTAGCCCAATGCTAATCTCGATGAAACCACCTAATTTAAGTAGATGCCTAGGTGGAGATCGATTTCATGACTTTCCCGTTGCAACTTTCGGCGATCGCTGATTGGCGCGAAAGAGTCGGTGAGCGGCGCCAACGAATGGGCGATCGTGTTCTGCAACCAATCACAACCGTTCTCCACTTGGGGGAAAAAAACGACCTTCTCTTCTTCCTCCCCTTCTCAAAGCACTTCCAACTGATCTACTTCCAATTTTCTTGAACTTATTGAAGCCCCTCTCGATAAACGCACTACGCACCCACTACATATCGTCAAGAATTCAGCCAAATGGCCTTCGTTGAGCTGTAAATGCCTCGCTGGGGAGCCTGTCCCTGCCGGCTCCCCAGTCCTGCAGCTCCGATCTTCAATTCTACTTGACGATATTAGTTTCTCTTTCGACGCCTCATACAAAGGCGTTGGAATTGCCCCTTAGCAAACTTCCAGAAGGAGCACTAGAGCGTCCGCAACGGACTGCGGGTGCTTTCGTGGCTACGAAAAAAAAAATACAGTTCGGGCTCCTCTCCTCCACTCCGCTTCTCCAATCTCCTCCACTCCGTCCCACCTCTTTCCGACTCATCCCCTTAAAACGGATCAACTTTTTGGGCAAAACTACGACCATCCTCTCACCAAAAGAAGATCTACCCCTCTTCCTTCATTTCATCATTGGATCCTCCCGGGCCATTTGAACAACAAGACCCAAGGATCAAAGAAGTCTACCCTGACAAAATAACCCCTATTCACTCACACGTGTCTCCTACAAAATGCCTCAAAGTTCATACTCTTCTAAGCGGGCCCCTAAGAGCTCCGCTAAGAACGCTCACCCCCGCCCCTCAACCCCCGAGTCCAACATCATGCGAAACCTCGAAATGTCACCCAAGACCAATCAGTCTCGAAAGTTATCCAATACCCAAGCATCCGATAAAAAACGGAGAGCTTCACCATCGTCGGTCTCAAGTGTCTCTTCGGTTTCGTCCCTTGAGGATCTGAGTGACGAGGCAGACGATTCAGAAGAAGATGCAGACGACGAGCAAGAACCAGCAGTTCGGGCCCCGTCTTATGGTCGTCGCCGAGACAATAAGGCGGGGCGCCAACCCACAATCAACAAGAGAAGACATGTCCTACACGACAGCAGTGACAGTAGTGACGGCAATGATGGCAATGACTCGGATGTGAGCTCAGATGATGTGTATGCCGCTGTGGACTACATCACAGATGCCGAAGATGAAGAGCAAGACGTTGAGAAGATGGAAGAAATGATGATCGTGGAGTCTGAGAAAACCCACCGCCCGTTGCCTAGCGCTGGATTTGCCGATGATGAGTGGGCTATCAACTCCTTCGACGATTTCATGTTCCTTCCAGCTGCATCCTTCTTCGATGAAGAGCAGCTATACAGTGCCATGGAGACCTTTGGAGAGCCTCAGGTGACCAGTGAGGCCGCGGAGACACCAGTCGCTCGGCGTGTTCACTTCGAGGAGCGATCGGATTCGTCCTCTGATAGTGACTCTCACAGTGACGACGACATTCCCGGTGACTTCTTACAGCAGGACAGCCTGGACCCACAGTTGCGTCGTATGATCGAAAACGACAACGAAAGCTACCAGAGAAATACACGCCGGCAATCGGAAGAGATGTTTGGCGATGCAGACTACGGCCATGGAAGCATCTACCACGTTGAGTCTGAAGGATCCTCCGAGGGTAGTTTGAGTGGTTACGAGAGTATGATAATTGGTTATTCGCCATTGAAATTCTGTTTTGCTAACCCCTTTGAACAGGTGATGATGGTGACACCACAGACGAGGATCTTCCCCCACCAGCAACTATCACCCACCCTCGATCCCTTCTCCGCCGGGATTCGTCCGACTCTTTGGCCCCTGTGGATGAGAAGAGTGACTGTATCCCCCGCCGCCGTGGGCCCATCATGGGAACCTTTGTAGCAGACCCCCACAAACCCGTAGCCTTGGTCGACTGCACTGGCAAGCATCTCGTCATCATTCCCGCGTATGCCTCCTCTCGCCACGACTGGCTGGACTCTGCCGCCAACAGCATGCCTGGAACTGCCAACACCAGCCCTCGCCAGACTACACTGCAATTGGTTGATGAGAGCGACACGGATGCACTCGCCTCCCCCAATCAGGTTGATTTCAGCCCAATGCTGGCTTCGAGTGCCAATCTCATGATGACTGCTCTCGGCAATGATCTCAACCCAGGAGGCCAGGTCATGGGTCCCCCCGAGGCATTCTACCCTTCTCAGGACTTCACCATCGACAGCTCGTTCGAAGAAGATGAAGAAGATGACCCGGAATCTGCTCTCAACGTCGACGACTTCATCGACTTTGGCAATGGATCCTCCGATGAAGATGAGGACATGGGTAAGCAGTTCGACGATGATGCCATGGGCTCCCCGATGCCCTTTGCCAAGTCCAGGGGTACACCTACCCCCAGCCGCAAGTCCGAGTCGCAAGCAGCCAACAGCGAGGAGCGCTTCCTAAATCATCTAGACAAGGGCATTGTTACCGCCTTCCGTCGCAATCACAACCGCTACCAGGCCCTCCTCCGCCTTCCCCAGCACCGCGAGTTCATGCCCGCAAACTCTCCTGCGCGTCCTGCCAGTGTCTTCAGGCACGCCAAGAACAACGACCAGCGCACTCCCACCCGCAAGCGAAAATCAAGCAGCATTGCAGGCGGTGAGGCTGTGCGACGCAAGCTAATGGATGCTCAGCAACGTCGCTCTCAGCTACCCATCCCAGCACCTCTCTGAGGTCTCACGATTACACGACTTTGGATTTCCACCAAGATCATATGATAACCACGGCCACAATTTATTCTATCTGTTTCTAGTCGCTGGCAGACTCGATATCAGAGTCCTGAGCCTTTGGCCCTGTCGACCTCGCTTTGAGCACATGGGCTCTTGGCTGTGGTCGTATTGCATCTTGCTACCAACATGTCACTTCCAATGATTTGAGTTAAAAACATGTTGCGTTGGCTTGCGAAAGATCGATGTTGGTTCTCAGAACCCCAAAGCGATCCATTTGACTATTTGATTCTCTTTCCTGTCCTTCAATTTCTTTTTTTTTTCATTTCATCATCATGTCATATCTATTGATTGGCCAATTTTCTCCCTCGCCTGTCGCGGGGGACGGGGATACCTTAGGATTTCTGGAGTTGAAAACTTGCAGTTTTGCGTTTTAACGAGTGATGGCTGATTAGATTGCCTTTTTTAAATTTACCCTTGCCAATATCAAAAACATTCGAAACGTTTCTTACATTTTCTCCCTGGTACTCATGAACCACTTGATCTCAATCAGGCTATCGTCAAGCTCTGACCTCATGAGATGCAACCCCACCATCCCCGGACCCACCTAAACCTTATTAAAGTAGATCTCCCAAGGTCCAAAATTGTCCCGTTTACTTTCTTCAAACCATTCGCCCCTCTATCCCAGGTTTTCCTTGCGAGATTGACGTCAAGTCCAATAAAGCTATCGCCTTAATCATCCACGCCGAGAATGGCTTCGTCTAGAATAACAGATTAAGGAAGCCTAATCTAGATAAATTGGTCCAAGTTCGATCTTTGAGGTGTTACCGACAGTCTTCAGATTCCACCTCAACTACCACCTCAACATTCCTTACCCCACCGATCCAATCCTCGACTCTTTCAGCTCGAACACCAGCCAAAAAGTCATCCGACTCATGTTCATGCACTTCCTCATCCGAGTCTTCCGCAATCACCACCCACGAGTGCTGATGTATTTCCTTTTCATTCGCCGGAACCCCACCCAAGGTGAGCCAGCAAAAAATGCCCCTTGTAGGATTATCTGATTTCTGATCTACGAAATAGATCAAACTTATGATCCTTCGGTAGAGCAGCAAGATCCGCAGAATTGACCCCTGGTTTCAGGTAAGAGACACACATCAAAATCGCTGCAGATGCAGACGCACCCTTAGACGTTGAAACCAATGAGGCGAAACCGCGTCTCTATCCCCGTATCCTCAATCCTCGACCCATCCCCAAGTTCCCAATCCCAACCTTCACACTCCAAAGCAGGGCATCCACAAGACAATTGCTCTCGAAGTAGAATTTCCGTGTCACAGACCTTGGTACTACCAAATGGCTTCCACTGCCACACAGGCAAATCGCCATGGTTATAGCTCCCGTTAGTGGGTGTCGCAAGAAAAGGCAGCTAACACTCATCCTCGCGCTGGACGGAATCTGCATCTGCATCGTAGATGCTTGTCATTGCTGTTTAGAGTCATCTAGTATGGGAAGGGCTTTTCGTATTCGGTGATCTGAGCTGAGACGGATTGGGGGGCTTTTCGAGGGTGATTGGTACTCGGAGTTCTTGGATGGTTTTGGGATTGGGAGAGTCGGTGGCTTACGGAGGAAGATATCGCGTGTGAAAGTAAATGCTGATAGTGCGACTGTGCATTGCGCGTAGATCTGGTGGTGCTTGCAAAAGCGGGTGAGATATTGGAACGCAGTTGATGATGGAGGGTTGCAGGTGCTCGACTCGAGATACTTTTCTGGTTTCACTTGCATTGATATCGCTCCGCCTACATGAAACGGTCCACGGGGAGATGAGTCTCTCGGATTCGTACTCCAACGGACATTTCTCATGCTGGTGTTCCAGAGAGCGTTCCACGAGATAACCTTGACTCCGCTTGCCGCTGACCCTTCAGGTTCTTGACAGATCTCAGTTGAATTTTTCTGGCATTGAAACGGGTTGACCATAAATGATGGCTCGCGCGAAGTGTGTTTTCAAAGACCTACGAAGATCGTTGCTTCAGCTTTCCCGGTGGATTTGCAAGTGTTCATTCCATCGTAGTGTCTAGTTAGGAAAATCAACCTGATTGACTTTATACCCGTCGGCCTGGATATTATATTCCAAGGCAAGGATGCTGGGAGTACACAAGGACTAGTTAAAGAAGCCGATGGGTCCTTGCATTTCTAGAGCTTGGTCCTGAATGAAAGGAAACAGTGCTTTTTTTTGAAGTGAAGTCCACTATTTTATACTCTGGTAGGTATCTATAATGATTTCTTACTCACCAGATAATGACATGTGTTTGCAAGACGCTAGAGATCCAGCGGTTGCGACAAGTAGAGGCAAATGTAATTGCTCCCTACACATAACACTCTCTCATTGCCCTTGGCTCCCAATCTACCGTCGAATTTTGACACATGATCATGTAACGTTCCCTACAAGTGGTAGGCGATCACCGGAGAGTATTCCACATAACAGGAGATTCTTGCCAGAACTAGTTGGCACCTTACGTTAATTCACAAGTTTGGCCTTAATTGTCGCGGGGAATCCCACTGCCTCTGATTAAATATAGCTCAGGCGTAGTATTCCCCATGCGGCGCTAAAAATCTCATTCGTGGGTATTTTTAGTTCGGCGGTTCCTGTTAATCCGGATTTGAGCCTACGGACAAAGCCATCGTCCTCCGCGCCGAGATGGGGAGAGGATTTGCATTTCGGATCTCTTTCTGAGAAACTAAAAAAGAAAATTTCGAACTAATGGAACATGACTGAAAGAAACGTAACATCGGCACTTGGGTATCTCAACGCCGGAGTTCACACGACCCCTATTCTTTGCGTAGTAACAGTTTGTTCAGGAAGAAGAAATCCGCCCAGACTCCGTTCAGACTAAGCTAGCTATATATCAGGACAAGATTCGGATTTCGATCGGAGATGTAATAAGAATGGCAGTACATGTCTAGAGCCAAGAGGGGGAATGCTGATAAAAAAGCAACCCTCGAGATGTCTACACAACCCCAGTAGTCTCTTCAAACAGGTTCGTTGGCGCTCAGTTTATTTAGTACGAACCGTATGATTCATTTGAATTTTATTAAAAGGTGAACCCCAGCGTGCCGATACCTGATTGTTCGACCGTTCAGAGAGTGACCCCTGGGAACTAAGATTGTGACAAGTTGGCAGTGCCGTTGGCCCGAACGTCGTACTCTATTTCTTCTCTCTAATTCGCCAACCCCGGCGCTTCGAATGCCATGAAAGATCAGGTAGATCTATCATAGGCACATATGTCACACAGAACGACGACAGATGGGCGCTAAAGGATAAATTTTTTTTTTTGGCTCGGACCGATCGCATTGTTCGACTGATGTTATACAACAACACAACATATGTTGAATCTGTGATAGCAAATCAGAAGTAAGCAGTTTCATTGCGAGGGCAGCTTGAGCCAATCAAGAGATTGGAATCAGCGCCGAACTCTGGATGGATCCCCAGCTCTCCCTCTTTTCAGCCACTGCCGTTTCATCAAGACCATTCGAGATCTGCTGATTGGAGAGAGGTTCGCTTTTCTCTGACGAAATGTCTTACCAGGATCTTTGACGCCAGGATATTTTGGATCAGCAGAAACAGGCTTGCAAGCTGCAGCCAAACTCTTTTTCTGCAGAGGTTCATGGCATAGCCGGCGTTGGACAATGGTTTAAAAGCACGAATCTATCCAAACCCGGCACTGATTTGATTCTCATCATTGTTGTATTTACTGCCTTTTACCCATCTTGGTTTGTCCCCAGCCAAAGACGCTCGTTCAGGGATACGTATTTCCTTGCCCCACCCTCTTTCGGTTGATATTGATTTATTTTCATTGAGGCTTCTTTATGATTGTCGCTCATCAACAATCCTTATAAGAAGTGCCGGTGTGTTGCCTATACAATTGTGGCTGATAACACAATATCAATTTGGGGCCTAGCTTTCTGTCTCGCAGCCTATCCACCCCGAACCTTGAGATCACTCTATTTTTTCTTCTTTTATCAACAATTCTTCTCTCTTCGTTGTTTTCTTCCATTCCATCTTCCGTTCGTGTCCCAACTTCCCGTCACTCGTTGCTGATATCCTTCCACTATGAAGGTCACTTCGGCTATTGCGTTTTTCTCTCTTCTGGCCTCTGGCCAGGCCACCGGAGCGGTAGGCCTCAACTCATGTCTTTCCATCTTTGATAGATATCCTAACGCAAATTATCTTAGTACTGGGGCTCTGACAGACACTATTCCAGTCCGGGAAGATCGCCTAACAAGTGTAACGCCTATCAGATCAAGGGCTTCAGCTGGGCTGACCTCGCTGCTGGCTCTTTCTCCGAGTATGGTGGCTTTTCCTTCTCTGGTTTCACTTGTGGCAATGGCTTCGGTTCTAGCCTTGGCAAGCGTGGCGTAAGTGATGCATCCATATCGTTCATCTGCAAAGACTGACAATGACTATAGACCCAGAAATGTATTTCCGGTACCGTCTCTAAGGGTGGCTCCCCCAGCTCTAGTGCTGTCTCCGGCTCTCAAAGCTCCAGATCTTCGGCTCCATCCTTCGCGTGCGGCTCGGACGAGAGCGGCTTCTCTGTGACTAACTTCCACATTGCCACTGAGAAGGATACCGAATTGTACATCATCTACAGCATGCCCGATGGATCCACTTGCAAGAACACTGCTTCCTGCAATTCGGCTGGTACTGTCGTCACCAACGACCAGTGCGGTGGTGCCAAGTTTGTTCACTTCGAGCTGCCCGACGATAGTGCACATGAGAGCTGCGGCTTCGGCATCTACAGTGTTGGCTTTGACTGCACTCCTGGTTCCACAACCACTTTGCCTGTCCTTTCCAGCACTGCTCCTGTGACCAGAGTTCCATATGAACGGATCTCTGTGTCTGCTGCCCCCAGCTCTATAGCCGTGCCTTCGCTCTCTGTGCCAGGTTCTATTGCGGTTCCAGTCACCACCTCGGCGGCTAGCACACCTCTTCGGATGACTACATCGACTGTGTTCACCACCAGTTTGCTCACTATCACCAGCTGTGCTCCCACTGTCACCGATTGCCCTGCTGGATCAGGTTCCACCACTGTGGTGACTTCCACCATCGCTCTTTCCACAACAATCTGCCCCGTCACGGAGACTGCTCCTGCCGGGGAGACTACTCCTGTCGCTACAAGCTCGTCTTCTGTGCTTGCAACTGCTAGCCCCAGCGGTGTTTTACCTGCCAGTTCATCGGCTGGTATTCTCTATCCAAGTGACACATCTGCTCCCGCATCTTCCGTTTCAGCTTCTTCATCTCCTTCTTTTTCGCCTACTAAAAGCGGGACCCCCGCTGGAGCTTCTACCGCTTCGACCCCGCTAATCACAACTCCCGTCCGGATGACTACATCAACCGTGTATACCACCAGCAAGGTCACCATCACCAGCTGCGCCCCCGACGTTGTGAGCTGCCCAGCAGACTCAACCACAGTCGTTACTTCCACCATCGCTGTCTCGACCACTGTGTGTCCCGTCACTGAGACTACCCCAGCTGATGTCGGCTCCACGCCTCTGTCTACAGGCACTGGCCCAACTGGCATCTTGCCCGTCAGTTCTCCAGCTGGATCATCTTTCCCCAGTGGCACTCCAGCTGCTTCTACGTCAGTCGAGACCTCCTTGGCTTCCGGCGTGATCTCTTTACCTTCTGGTGTGACCTCCGATGTCTCGTCCCCTGCACCTTCGTCTCCTGTCGGCACTACCCCCTCCTCTGGTGAAGCTATCACCACTATCGTTACTTGGGAAACTGTGACCACTTGCCCGGTGACCAATACCGTTACCTCCGGTAGCTCCACATTTGTGACTACCTCAAGCACTATTTCGACTGTTACTTTGACTACTGTCTCTACAATCTGCACTGATTGCTCTACTAACGCCACCCCCGTTGCTGGTCAAAGCACAGTTAACCTCTCTGGCACACCCGGAGCTTCGAGCACTGTGGTTTCCAGTACTAGAATATCCGGTACTCCTGAGGGATCAAGCCCAGTCTTTTCTTCGTCTGCAGAGGCCTCCAGCCCCCTCCCCAGCGGGCCTGATGTCACTAGCTCGATCCCCTCTAGCGTGGGCGCTGATACCACCCCTACGATTCCCCAAGCTTCGACTGCTACTGCTATAACTTATGTAACTGAAACCAACAGTCCTGTGATTGCCACCATCACTTCTGTGTCATCGATATTTGCCACGACATCTAGCTCGGTATTCACTGTTACTCTGACCTCCACTCCTTCTCTCTCCAGCTCTGTTGCTGCCGGAAGCACTCCCGCTCCCTCTGAGGTAGGGGCTGGCTCCATAACTGCTCCTACGGGCCCCGTTGTCACGATTATCAGCTCCTCTAGTGTCGGCGTGAGCTCTGCACCCACTATTCCCGAGGGTGCCACTACTACAATTGTGACTTATGTGACCGAGACCACCTGCCCTGTCACTGCCACTATCACGTCTGGATCGTCAACTTTTGTCACGACATCCAACACAGTTTCAACTGTTACCTTGACCTCCACTTCCAATCTTCCTAGCTCTTTCGCTGCCGGGAGCCCTCCCGCTCCCTCTGAGACAGGTGTCACCCCCACGACTGCTCCTGCGGTTCCCGCTGTCACCAGTGAGATTGTATCTAGCATTGGTGACAGCTCTATTTCCACTTTTCCCGAGGGTGTGACTACAACTGTTGTGACTTATGTGACCGAGACCACCTGTCCTGTGGCCAACACTATTACTTCGGGTTCTTCCACATTCGTAACCACATCCAACACAGTTTCCACAGTGACTCTCACCTCCGTCTCGACGATCTGTACCAAATGCACCGCTACCCCTACTGCTGTCACCGAGACTAATTCTTCTTCAACCGCCAACACAACCCCGGCAGTCCCCGGCGGTGTTTCCCCGGTATCGAGCCCAGCTCCCTCGGTCCCCTGCCCCAATACCGTGCCCCAGTGCATCAACACTTGGCTCACCCTCGCCCCTAAGTGCACATCCAACAGCGATGCCTCATGCTTCTGTCCCAACAGCGAGTTTACCAGCAAAGTCATCTCCTGCATCCAAGCCTGGGGTGCCTCCAAAGCAGAGATCCAATCTGCCCTGTCCTACTTCACCGGTATCTGCGCCAGCTGGGTTCCTCAGAACCCAGGCATCGTGACCGCCATCCCCTCAACAATCACCCTTATTCCGACAGTCGCTCCTTCCGCACTTACATCCAGCCTCTCGGGCGCCAGTGTCACGGCGACTGCCGTTGCCCCTATTACTTCCGCCCCCACTCCCCCCTGCACAACCATCACCTACTCGACCTACACCGTCACCGTCCCGCAAGTCAGCTTCGTCACAACTACCGGTGCTAGCTCCGGCACCGTCCCCACCATTGGTCTGGTCCCGGCTGGTCCCAGCGGTGCTTCCCCAGCACACAGCGGTAGTGTTCTCCGCCCCGCAACGGCGGCCTGGTTGACCTCAAGCGGGTACCCGTACGCCAGTCGAAGCGCTAGTAGGAGTACTTCGCCCACCGCATCTCCGGTCTTCAACTCTGCCTCAAGCTTGTCTATCGCTTCCAGTCTGGTGCTGGCTGCTATCGTTGCCTTGTTCAGCTTGCTGATGTAGATGCATTTGCCAGCGAACAAGTCACGTCTCCCTCGTGGATTTACCTACTTTTCTTCTCTCTTGTGATTACAGACCTGCACAGTGCGGATTGATTTCGTGTTTTTGCTTCGTGCGTTTCTTCGCGCCGCTGGAGTGGTTCTTCTTGGTTGCGGTGAACTATTGACTGCGAACTGACTCAGATCGTTAATCCCCTAGGGACTTTTTTGTACTTTAATGACTCACTCTCTAATTTAACGCGATAGACCTCGCCTTTTTTTTTGACAGTTTCCGATCTACTCATCTTCCGCTCTCCATCGATATTTGCTCTAGATGGGTAGTTCTCTTTGACTCTGGTTTAAAACGTTTGGCTACATGAATAAAGTCTGCAATGCATTGTAAGGTTTTTCCAGTCTCTAAGCCCCTGGCGCTTTCGTGAGACAATTTGCATTTATATACCATTGACGTTTTCTTTCGGGTTCAAAACGTGGAATATTGTTGTGAGATGTAGAGATCGACGTCGTCCGTTTTGCCTTTGGTCTTTGTAGCTTCTAAAGCTTTACTTTGCCTTCCGAGTAGCCCGACTTTTGCCATGAAAGTCATCAGGCATTAAACATTACTTTTCTTAGATGTCACTCGGGGGTCTAAGTAATAGTTGGAGATCTAGCATTGTAGTAAGACTTGACTTTCAGTGGTCAACCTCTCGAAATTATTTCCTACCTTGTATTTCCCTGGTACGGTGCATTGCTTCATTCCGAGGGCTTCTCGCTATCCATCCTTCACAGATTCCCAGGTGGTGGTGGAATCTTTCTCACGTCGCAATTCGATTTCTTTCTGCGGCTTGATTCACTCTTATTCCGCGGAAAGTACCTAGCTTCGCCCATTGGCGCTCAGTGCCATTGTGCTTGACTGCCGGATCGCATTGATCGCAAAAAGCACATGGCGAAGAGGACGAAAGCTTTTTTTTTTCGAACAGCAGTGTGCTTATTGAGCCCATCATTCTGCACTCATAAATCCTCGTTCGACTTTCGGCTTCCCCAGCATTGGGACAAACACAGCTCTGGTCACGATGTCTTTCGAGAGGCGCTCGGAACTATGTTCAAAACAAGAATTCTGGGGTTTGATCTAGCCGTCAGGATCCTCTGGCAGATTGGAAAAACGAATGATCTCGAATTGTGTTTGCAGAAAGAGAAGCTCGTTGGGATGTGCCCGTCACCATACCGCCATCTCTAGCTCGTTGGGCAGAAGTGGTCGACGATCACGTATCTTGGGGATGTTGGTCAAAATGTGTGCCTGCAAGCTACCCGGTATGCATTCCTCGTGGGAAGGATTGGATAGTTGAATATGAGGAAGCTCAGGCTGTAGGCTACACCTTGGGTGGCGATGAGGGCGTCAGGGGGGGAGGGGACGAATTTGGTTGTTAGTGCGACTATGCAGTTCAGACCGCAGTTCGAAGACGTCAACGTACTTCGGATCCTGGTCATCTACCGCTTGTGTTTTTGAAGTGCTCGTGTTTCTGTACACAGGGCTCCTGGATAGGAAACCTCTGGGTTACCGGCAAATTCGGGGATCTTTGAGTAAATATCCTGGAGGACTCCGAATTAGAGTGGGAACCCTGGAATTCTACTAATTCCTATGGCTTATGGTGGCTCAATTCCACGCTGTACTCGCCCCCAGGGCAAAGATTCGGAGACCAATTCTGTCTCTAGTCATTTTCAAGCAGGTCCATAGTCTGTTGGCTCAAGCTCTTGGTTGATAAATTCCGCGCTTTCTGGCTCCTCTGGTTCGAGCTGGTTGCTGCCAGGGTTATTGGTACCGTGCAATGGACCGTGAGTGGTGCAATATCAAGATCAGGATGTTCTGTAAATAAATCATCAACTCCACAAGATGGGTGCCACTCAGTGCTCCACTAGGATTTATCAGCTGCGGAGATAATGTCGAGATATAGAAAAGGATAAAGTGGACTACCTGAACACTCAATGACTGCAGTATCGAATCTTGCGTTTGAGAATCTCTGTTCCATTTTCCATTTCTTTGATAGAAGATCTGACTCCCGAGTTTGTCGGGGAAGAGGCTTGTTCCACAGCGTTCGACGAACCTCACTCAATTCAGGCATGGCCACCAGAGGTGGACAGTTTCGAATTTTTGTGGCCAGTTTTGGGTCGTTTTCCGGCTGTAATTTTTTTTTCCTTATCTCGTGATGTTCATAAGCGTATTTGGTGAACCCAAAGACAGAGAGATTCCTGTAACCAGAAACAAATGACGGCCCCATGTCGTGTCGAAGAATACATTCGTCGCAGAATGGAAGATGGACCTTCAAAAGCAGTGTGAGGGCTAAATGTAGTCAATTTGTGCCAGACCTTCCGGGCTTTCGAGCCACTCCATGTAATCCTTAATGCCCTCCTTGATACCACGGAACCGCAGCATAGAGCCAGCCCGACGCAGCTTCGAGATATTAGCGCAGGCATAGCTCTGGTGTTTTCCTTTCAATTCGGTGGGGAAGGGAACAAATTTGATGTACCCCTGGAGATTGCCAAAGTGGCTGGCAACTTCGGTAGCGACATCGTGGAAGCTGCTAGCAACACCAGTGCCAACATTGTAAATACCGCTGATCTCGGGGTGATCCAGGAACCAACAGTTCAGACGGGCGACGTCGTGAACGTGGACAAAATCGCGCCTCTGTTGTCCCGCTTCGACTCCAGCGTACTCCCCAAAGAGCTCAATGGCTTTAAACGACTTGCGCTTTTTGTAGAACTGGTAGACCATACTAGGTGTTGTCCCACGACTCTGTTCTCCGGGTCCATAGACGTTGAACAGGCGGAGCCCCGCGATTTGAGGGGAGCGAATGTCGGTGTTCTTGACGACGTACTGATCAAACAGCATCTTTGAATATCCATAGACGTTCAGCGGGGCTTCTTGGAAGTCTCCCTGGACGAAGGAGGTGTTGTTTCCATACACCGCAGCGGATGAGGCGTAGATAAAAGCGAACTCGTTGGTCCTTGCACCAATGGAAGAGTTCCTTGGCGTAGGTGAAGTTGGTATCAAGCAGTTTCTTGCCATTGGTCTCGGAGACGGAAGAGCTTGCACCATAGTGGAAGATGACGCGGGGACGATGAGGAAAAGTTTTGGTCCGAATCGCTTCACGGAAGGTAGTGGCATCGATGTAGTCAGCCACTTTGCAGTTGACCAGGTTGCGGAACTTGGATCCATCAGTCATGTCGTCAACAACCACGACATTAGTGACGCCCCGGTTGTTCAACTCCTTGACGATGCTTGAACCAACGAAGCCGGCGCCCCCGGTGATGACAATCATTTTGGGAGATTCAGTTGAAAGGGAACAGGTGATAATAATGGCTGGGAAAGAAGGACGTTCCAAGTTGCGACTTTGGTGATCAGTGAGATAGCTCCAAATGAGAAGGAGCCGAGTGAGGCCATCCATCGTCGGATGTTCGGATGTTAATCGATGAATTGAGAAATGGAACGTTTGACTTTCGTTCTTTTGTTTGGATTCTCGTAGATTGGGGCCATCTCTCACGGTTATTAAGCTTGTAGGCTTGACTTGAAGCCCTTGCCCAATATTCCTAGAACCCCCTCATCCATTGAGGCTTACATCTGATGAGAATCAGAAAGATTGCTAGGCAGATGGAAGTGCCTCAGTACTTCGTATTTATTTCCTACTCCTTTTATTTCACGGGTGTCAACTCTTTTTTGAGCCTAGATGTTTTGGTTCTTTTCTATATCGTGGATGTGATTGTTTAGGTAGCGCAAGGGGAACTTTGGGACATTTACCAGCAGAGTCGTTCTTCAAACCGGGGAGAGATCCCAAGGTCGGCATCCGATCCCGACCAACATCACAGGCACAACGGCGACAACCCTCCGATTATCATCTCGCTACAACCGAAACCATGGGAGTCATTAATCTATGTTGTATTCGAGGAACTCTCCGAGCTCCGACATGTGATTAAATATCCTTGGCTGTCCACACCTCATTGGTACGATCTTGCAAAAAAGAACGGGGCTCCGGCGTTCATGAATGTTTCACAGGCCATATCCACCATCTCCAGAAAACGCCATGTGGCACGGCGCTGAGATCAGAATCGGGCTCAACTCCGATACTTCAATCTAACTGAATGGAGCCCTTCACCTGACCCAGCTTGTGCAGTTATCAACACCATTCAGTTCCTATCCGCACTTAGGGGAGTCAGTCTAAGAGATACCCCGTCCAATTGTATGTGATCCAAGGACCCCCGACACTCTGTTATCCTTTCCTGATGGCCTAAGTTACAAGGAAATGAGATTGTGGGGACGAGAAACGGCGGAGGCCGGTGCGGTGCATTGATTCCGGTTCCTGGCGGTTCTTTACGGGGGGGGGTCTCTATCTACAACGGGCCTGGTCAATGTCATTATCGAGCGCCACCTTACGAATCGCTCCGGACAAATCCCGGCTTTTTTTTTTAAAAAAAAAAAAGGATGCAATGGAAACAACGACGGAGGATACGGAGACTTGTACGGAGTACACCCTGCAGATAGATCAGGTTCCGAGCAAAGGGAGCACCATTTATTGAACCCTCCTTACGATTCTATCACAATTTCCTCAAATACGGAGTATAAAGTACAATAGATCTCTTACAATGCATATGACTGTTGACATACGATCTCTTATCTGGTTGGTAAAAGATAAGCCCAACGCCCTAGATTGGCTGACAAAGAGTTCAAGACCGACCTGCAACCTTGGTGACTTAGTCCTTTTCGATATGGATCCCAAGTCAACTCTAAAACCTGAGACTACCATCTGATTCTCTAGTCTATTGACCACTACCCATCCTCCTTACTGTTAAGATAAGGTTTCCACCAGTAGGCATCCAATCTTGCCTTGTGTTTACACGTATGGAGACATGGAGATGGACAGCCGCAATGTCCAGAGGGACATGGTGCAATATATTAAAAGTCGGGTCTCCCAGTGATGTGTGATCTGCAAACCCCATTCTGCAGGGCATGCTAGCATGGCTCAGTCTGAACACACCTCACTATGGTGGCCCGAAGAGCGCATCAAATCCACGCTCGATGCAAAGTACATCGTCAGTCGGCTCCGACCGGAGAACATCCCGCGCCTGTTTGAATTGCCAGACTGGGGCGAAGGCTTGACCAGCGAGACGTACATGGAATGGATCCTCACAAAAGCCGGCCGTGTTTTTTTGATCCTCAATGCTATTGGCATTCCCGATCGGATCTTCGCGCTAGTCGACGAATCCTGTGACGATGACGATCTACCGATCGCCGAGCATAGCGTCGATCTCCTACACTTGTCCCCCAATGGAGAAGACGTCGCCCTCGAGACGAGTTTCTTTCATGCGCAATGGCGCTTCCTGGTGCGTGGAATAACGGAGGGGGATCATGTCGTCTATACCGAAAATGAGGGCGTCCCAGTTGAGGCGGTCCACACCAATACTAGCAGTGGAATACACGGGCATGATGACACGGTCGACAGGGTCGTCCTCGCCGGCTCGGTCTGTCGAGTCTACTTGCGGACCCAAGTGCAAGTGGGCGGCGCACCACATTTCTTCTCGTCTCACGAGGTTCTCGCCGAGATTCGCAATCTAAAAAGCCTGTCACACGAACACCTTATCTCCGTCTTTGCCTCGTATTTGAAAGACGACAGCGTCTCCGTGCTCTTTACCGGTGGCACAGCAGATCGGAATTTACACAGCTTCCTGACAGATGAGCCGATATCCTTTAAACGGCTGGACAAAGAGCAACGTCGCCAGACCTTGATCACCTGGCCCCACTGTCTTGCATCCGCAGTCTGCTGGCTGCATGCATGCGGCCACTCCCACGGCGCAATCCGCCCATCCAACATCTTCATCGACGCAAATTTTCACATCTGCCTCGGCCAATTTCAAGCACTCGACTCACTCCTGACCCCACCACGTGTCAACGACCTCGAGGCATACAATTACTCTGCCCCCGAGCGCTGGACTCGTCCCGCAGCTCCAATGCAACAAAGGTCCGCCCAGCCAGCCCAGACCCTGCTCCAATCGGGAGGACGTACAAAGCGCAGACAACGGCCTGTTCGTCCAGCCCTAGCCCCGTTGAACGAAAACCGACCTGTATCTGCAGACCACACAAGACCAAGCTCAGCCGCCTCGAAAGGGACAGTGACCCGCGTCGGCCGAACAGAGTCACCATCACGTTTCTCCCTCGCCTTCTCATCCTCCTCTTCCTCCTCCGGGGCCTCCTCAGCAGCCTCATCCACCCACACAGACGCAACAGCAATGTCCCCACAACCAATGAAACAACGCATCTCATCCTTCTGGTCCCGAAGAACAAAGAATACTCCCTCAGCGCCATCAATCCTTTCAATCTCTACTTCCTCCTCAAACCAATCAACTTTGGCATCTCCAAACTTCCATTCCCCCGATTCCTCCACCCTCTTCTCAACCCCACCTTTGTCCCTCCGCCACTCCAAATCCGCCCACTCCCTCGCATCATCATCATCCACAAGGCCTACCCACTCCACCGAATCACCGACTGATCCCCACAACCCGGCAGATATCTTCTGTCTCGCAGCAACAACCCTGGACATCCTAACCGTCCTACACAAACGAACCCTCACATCCTTCAGCACGCACCGCAGCGCCCGAAACCGATCCGCAGGTCGCGGCGGCGGGATAGCAGATGCATCCTTCCATCTTGCCAAAAATGCCGTGCAGGTTCAGTCTTGGATTGCGTTGTTGGAAGGCGATGCATTGAAGCGTTGTCGACGAGACCGACGCTCCGATCGTGCATTCTGGGCTGTGCCAAAGATGTTGATCGTGATTCGGTCCATGCTTGATTTTGAGAGTGTGAAGAGACCGCTTGCGAAACGCGTTCGGAGAGGGTTTGCCGATGCGATCACTCGAGAACGGGGTCGGGGGAATACGGATGGGATGGGGACTTTGCATTGTGTTAAGGGAAAACGGGAGAATGAGGAGGGAGGGGAGGAGGGGGGACAGAAGGGGTATGGGGGATTAGAGGTCATTCGGGAGATAGGGGCTGGGAGGAGCGCTGTTTCGGTTTCTTCTACTCCGTTGGAAGTTTCCAAGTGGTCAGTTTGCGAGTCGGTTTCGGAATTCGATTTTGGGTTTGGGGATGCTGGGAGTGAGAGTGAGAGTAATGTTGAGGGTGAGGAAGAAGATCTGTCGGAGTTCGAAGAACCGGAGATACGAGTGGAACAGGTCTCGCCTCAACTGTATCTGCCAGAGTTGGATATGAGCATCACTGGAATTGAAGAGCTGACGTTTAAGACTTAGATGGAGATGTATGAGAATGTATTGATGGTCTAATGACCAGGTTTTCCATGCAGCACTAACAATTCATTTCTTGTGTACAGTTCATGCTTCGTGAAAGACAGACTGGAGATAACATAACCTGTATGCAAATTCAGCAGGCCAGCTGAACTCGTCTATCCCAAATGGTTGACGCTATCAATACAATGGCTCGAGGCGCAATCGTCCAGGGTCGAGTAACAAGACAGCAACATACTCAAAGCCAAATAGCGACGATACCCAGCAGGCCAGACAGCACCAAGGATCCAACGAGTAGGCGCTCAGTCGCTGGTGAGCCAACGGTCACAGCGTGAGCACCGCCTTCCTTTGTTGCCGATGCAGAGGGGGATACGCTTGAACTGACATTAGTAACCTTGCTGTTCTTAGCGGTCGCTGTGGAAGCAGAGCCCTTCTTAAAGGTCTGTCCCAAGGTAGGAAGCGGCGAGCTTGGGTCAACTGCCCATCCACCAGAGGTCGAGGCAGGGCACTCGATGGCGGTGAGGCTGGATGCGCTCTTGCGATAGGCGGAAAGGGCGACTCCGGTCGGGTGCAGAGTAGCCCACTGGGACTTGAGGTTGTTGAAATCAGGCGACACGGGCGTCGGGGTGCCCTTACGGGTAAAGCCGTCCTCGATGCTGCTGGCGGTCGCGGTCGCAGCGTCAACGGACGGTCCATAATTGATCAACCCATAGTCATTGGTTTCCTCAATCCACTCATAGATGATCGATCCAGACCAAGTATCAGACATTTGGTCACCAAAGATGGCAGCCTGATCCTCAAAGGTGCGGGGTGAAGGGGTATTGCACCCGGTCTCGGAGAAGAAGATGGGGATGGGGTAATCCGTCGCGTTCTTCTGCAGCATGTTGTATCCAGACTGCTCATAGCTGGATGCACCGCACCATTCGTAGGCGTTCAGTGAATAAAAGTCCAAGCGTTCGGATGCGTTCTGGGCACAGGCCATATAGTTTTGCAGCATGGGTCTCAGATCGGCAATATCGGCTGCAGAGTACCCAACGGGGATCTCACGGTAGCCCTTCTTATCACGATAGGCCTTGATGTCGCGAGCAGCCGCCAAAACGTAGGGAGCAGCAGCCGAACCATCGGCCGTGGTGAGTACCTCATTTCCGACCAAGACGCCGGCAGTGTTGTCGAACTTTTGGAACTCATCGAGCACCTCCTTGAAGTGATCAAACTGGGTCTGATTCCAGTGAGGCTCGGTCTACGATCGTCAGCAGATGATCCACACGAAGACAAAGTGGACCTGCCTGTTCAATCTGGGTATTGAAAGTGTCCAAGTCGACGAACAAGTGGATTCCTAGATAACGCATGAGGATGAAGAATCACTCCGGGAAGTGGAACCGATCGTACCAGCATCTGCGAGCGCCGACATACAGCCCTTGTGGTCAGCATGGGGGTCCACGTGGTACACGCGGATCGCATTGGTGCCCAGTTCGGACATTCGGGCGATGTCACGCTTGCATTGGGCAGTGTCGACGAGCGGGTCACTGGGAGTAAGCTGATAAGCAATGCCTGTGCGAGTCAGTCGGGCAATCTACAGTGCAGGATTTCTGGGTACCTTTGATGTAGAACTGGGTTCCGTTCTCGTAGAAGAACTTGGAGCCGACAGCCGAAATCGGTGAGATTGCCACTGCCGTAGCCTGTAGGCCAACAAGTAGCAATGGCACTGAAAATGCCAGGGATGATAACATGATTTACTTCTGTAAACGTAACAGTTGGAGGATGCGATCAAATAGGAATGACTTGGTAATGAAGAGGGAAGTCTGGCAGTTTGACGCTCTTGCCAGGACGAAAGAATCAAGGCAGGTGCAAACGCAAAGAGTTACTTCAATTTGAAAGGGAACTTGACATGAAACCTGAGAATAACACAACAGTTCCTTGATTTGGAGCTATAGCAACCAAATTATCTGCAGGGTGCTCCCAACTAGCGGACTTCATTCCTAGCCTCATTTCCGACATTCCAGGTAATTTCCTAAAGCTTTCAAGGCACACAAAGTGATAAGGATGTTAAAGTATACAACACAACGTATACAACGTAGACAACGTCTACAATTGGAGTACCTGGGCAAGTTCCAATGTTGATTGTTGACTCCAGCCACCTGAACCCGAGCTGTTGGGGCCCAGCCCTAATTCTCCATGCAGATCTCACACACATAGCGGATGGAGTACTCCGTAAATCTAGACTATGGAGCACTCCATGCAAGTAAAGATATTTAGGTACAGAGTAACGGAGTGGAAGATGTGCAGTCCCCATTAAAAAAAACTTCAAATTAACAAGTTCTGTGTAAAAGGAAACCCTTCCAAGATTGTTCTCTTGTTGCCCCCCCCCTCCCCTAACCCCGAAGATACCGAGTTCCACAACACCCCCCCCCCCTATGCTATAATTACTACGGAGTACTAATAACTCGTACCTTGGGCGGCTTGAGACACATTGATGATTTAAAATGCTTATTATTGTCACTAGTCTGACGGTGCCACGACGCCGGACAAGTATTCTCCCATCTTAAACCCTGTCAATCACTGCTGTTCTGGATTCGACCCTTATCTCCACTCTGACTGGACATGGGAAAGATGGTCCAACCTTCAAACCCTGAACTGCATTCCCACACGGGAGCTCATCGATCGACAGAATATTGGGTCACTTGAAATCTTTGGTTCCTTTCAAAGTCCAGTAGGGAACGTCTTTTTATTCACGAGACGCGTTGGGCAGAGATCGGGTGAGGAAGATATCAGGGATAATCTCATGGACCCCTAAGCATATCACTGTGTATTCTACTAGCAGTCACGCCAACACGATCCTGGAAAATATTCTTCAATTCCAGACTGCCACGGTACCCCACTGGGCGGTTTTCGGCGGTCAACACGAGGGGCTAGAACGAGGTCCTTGCTAGCCAAGGAGGTTAAGTACTACTATGGCAAATATCTCGATATTGACAGATGAGGGTGGAAACAGTAGGAACCTAGCAGGAATCACGTTGTATCCATCTAATATCTATGTAATTGGCGTAGGTCTGTGACAAAATAAAGATCTATCTGCATCCCTAACTTGCTTGGATGTGCGACAGTCCAGACTTCCAATCTCCACTCCTCCACTTCGTTCCGAAATGTCCGCCAATAATCGTCCCCACACGCAGTGTGTTCGTCAGCTAGTGGATCCGTCCATTAGGATCGTCTGGGCTTTCCCTTGGACTTGTTACCCAAAACGGGAGAGTCTGTAAATGACGTTTCCGCAAAGGGGAGGGGGGAGTGGAAACACCACCATATAATATCCAGCCCGCATCCGGTCCTAGACTATTTTCACTAATGGACTATTTCTACGCAGCCCTACCCTTTACCTGGTTTTGTCAATTTTCCGAGATGGTTCTATAACCCCCTATCCCTATACTATTGCCCCCGATCATACGACCCACCAAATCCACCAAAGAAACATCCGACATCATACAATTCGACAGATCATCCACAATGGCCTCCCCGTTCCACATCTCCCGACATGAACAAGTCGAGCTAGAGCGCAATGAAGCCTTTCAAGTAATGCGCGAACAACTTCGCCGCCAGGAATGCGGTATGGAGCGACCGAGTTTCTGCGCCGGCCACCGACACTCCTGCACTTCCACCGACCAAGAAACCTTCCGCCTCCACCGCGACATAATCCACACCCTCCTCGTGCCCCTCTTCCTCATCAACCACCAAGCCGAGCGCATCGCTGCCCGCGCCCTCCCGACTCAGAAAGGCGCTGAGCCCGAACGCGCCTTCCGCGGTGAAGCCCGCAGCGCCTTCGCCTGGCTGAACTGCATCCTCACCGAAGAACACGACTGGTACCTGACAGCTCGCTGCCCAGCCTGCATCGTCCAGCACGTGCTGCACTCGGAACCGACAATCCGATTCGTCGCCGTTGCCTCTCAGCTTGCAGGACCCCGCTCCGGATTCCAGTGCTGGCTGAACGCCCTCGAGACAGCCGTCTGCGAAGACCCTTTCTGGGGCGATGCCTTCTGGCCGGATATTGAGGAGCGCGCCTCTCGTCTGACTGACGGCGTGCAAGAGCTCGTGCGCCAGTGCTACGAGCTCAGCGCGACACTCGATAACCCGTCGCTCGCCAAGACCCCCGTGCCCGTCTACGGCAGTCGCTCCGCCTCCTGCACAATTCCCCTGAAGCCATCTAGTTTCGCGCGAAAACAGGTTCGTCTGACGCGCGAGGAGCAGAGATATCGCTCCTCGCTTTTGTGGAATTGCTCGCCGGAAATGACACAGCCCCTGGCTGGCTGCACCACTGCGACTCAGTCTCGGCGTCGGTCACTGACTTCATGAGGAATCTCTATTGGGCTATGGTGGCGACTCCCACCAGATGCATTTTTCTCTCAACTCTCAACCAACCGGTTGCTTTACAAACACCGCCGACCGGGACTGTTTTTCCAGAAATCAGCCCTTCTTTGTCGATTGAAACCACTCGGGGTTCTACAAGTGTGTCTACGGACCTTGGGGAATCTACGTTGTACAGAGAATCCTATCCGGGATGTCACGGGTGCCAATTCCCTAATCTCACGGGACACTTGGTACTCCCCAGTCTACCACGCGACCGAGACCAAGTTCTCGATATGCAAGGGTCTCCGCGGATCTGGAGTCCGCTGTGATGATGCAATCAGACCCAGAACCATGGGATGAAGGAAGTGTCCCATCTCCTCGGGTCGATGGAGATAAACCCCGCGGTTGAATTCGGTCTGCATGGCCAACAGTAATGAGGTGATTTTTTTTTTGATCCTGTCGGATAATGGTGGTCATCGTGATGGTCTTATAATTCAATCTTCATCGTCAGTTTTTCTCTCTTTCTCATGGTTCCCATCCAAGTAGCACACGCACGTAGAATCAGTTGACGTGTGCTCGTCCAATCGACTTCGACTCCCGTACATACTAAGCACAAAGTAACCAAAACTCCACTTCGCAAGTCAACGAGAATTAAATATTGCTAATTGGAGTAAATCGTAGGAGGCACTCGAAAATGAATTCAACGCCGTGGCGACATACTCAGCGTGAGACGGTGGAGCAAGCTGGAGATGGGAACAGGGAAGTGAACCAGATCGAGGCGCACAGTGGAAATTAAAAACGGTCCCAACGCCCCTCGCGCGATCCGGACTAAATCTGAAGCTGGATTTATGGGGTCGCCTGTCAGAGTGCCACTCAGATTCCTGGATTCTATGATTCAAGGATCTCCGGAGTGCGAACTTGCTGCGAACTAGACATTGCATAAAACTTAGACCCGAGTATCGAAATGCTTAGATCAAACTACCTGTGTAAATTTAAACATTGTACGGAGTAGCCTGTATGTTCTATGCGTTGGCACACAGGAGCATATGCCGATGCCCAACCCCTTTCCGGAAACGGAAGGCGCTACATTCGTGTGCGCATAGTCTCTGGGTACGAAGTACGGAGTACGGAGTACTCAGTACCTCATCCAGGCCCATGCTCCACATGCGTTCTATGGTACTGACAACTTGTGAAACCAAAGGCTTGGGCCGTATTAGGGGGGGGAAGTGATGGGCAAAAGCATAATAGGGTAGTCTTATGCTCGACTCTGGTTCGGGTAATGAAGCCTTCATTTAAGGATACTCAAATAGATTCAAATAAGATTCAAATACATTATTTTAAAGTGCATTCTGGTCTCAACTTGCACAACCCGAAAATGATCGTCAGCCCCCCGTGGAGCCCAGACGGGAGCACATCGGTCGCTCTAGACCGGCACCCATTTTTATACACAATTTCCCAATTTCACAATTTCATCTTCACAACTATATTCTTGTAATATTTTATATGATTTAGCATCTTACGGAGTAGTTCTATCTGATTAATTTAAATAAAAATAGTCTAAATAAATTACCTACATCCCTTACAGCCAAAAAAAAAGTTAAAAAAGGAAGCAAAAAGGTAGAAACCGATGACTCCACGACTTGGAAGGTCTAGACTGTCCCGACCTGAAGAGTCTGGCCCCAACCCTTGCCCCAGCTAGTACCCAGTACATGGTCTAGTGTCTAGCATCCCATGCTATGGCGAAGTACCTAATACCCACTTTGCCCTTCCCGTCAATTTCCATTCGATTCACGCCCTCTTTTGCTTCTTCTTATTCTTCTTTCATCCCTTCTTCTTTTCCCCTCCAAATATTCCAATCCTTTCCCTCTCTTATCTTCTCTTTTTTGAACCTCAACTTTTCATTCGATCTTCTAAACATCCCTCCCACGCTTGGACCCGAACATCACCTTTTAGTCATCCTTTGACGATTCATGACGGCTGCCATCTCTTTCCGTCCAATAGAAAAAACAGACTGGATGACACCCTCATGCAATGGACAGTGCTGGCCTGTCACTCCTACTCCTGACATTCACACCATGCATGTCCCATCAACAGTGAAACTGGATACCAGAGACCATCTCCCCCAGAACTCAGATACACAGGAAACTATCAACCCCTCCAAGATTCGCCGACGGGCTTCACAAGGATCTCTTCGAACCAGACCATCCCCGGTATCTCGCTTTCTCTCCAAAAGTAGTGTTGCCGTGAACTTCCCATCGTGGGATCAACGTGCCTCTCCCGGTTCGCCTGGTTCGCCCTACCGTCTAGAGTCTCGCACGCGGTCGGTTGACTCTCGTCTTCGCCTTTCAACCACTGTGTCTCGCGGGCATAGGCCTTTGGCTGCTTCGCCTTC